CCAGTTGCTGAACTAGAAGGGATGAAAGACTGAAGAAGAGGCCACGTCCTGCAAGCTGGCGGAGCCAACAGCAAAAACACGGCAAGGCTGATCGAAGGCGCTGACCAAGATGAAACATGACAAGCACCTCGAAGCCGAAATCTTAACATGTGAGAAAGATTCTTTTCCGCCTCAGCTTTCTCCTGCCTTTAGACGTTCGACTCGGCGCTCCGGACGGCATGCTCTATCCACCTGGCTGGTTCTCGTGAATCCATCGACAAGCTAGCCCAAGAAATCGCGACACAGGCTGAACTATTTACGATTTACGATTTACGAATACGACCCGCCACATTTCCTATGGTAATTGCCAAGTCTTGAAAATTTACGGCGATAATGTTTAGAAAGCGCCAAAGTAACGGCCGCCTCTCATGAAATCCCTGTCAAAGAGTCTCCAAATGCACTGACCACGTACCTGTCTAAAGTAAGAATTTGTTGTATTGTCTAAAAACACATTTATAGGAAGTTTTCTGCGCTCATTCTACGGATGCTGTCTACGAAACCCAGCGAGGTCAGAACCTCTACAACATCGAAGAAGTGGCACCAACGAGGAAAATCAGCCTTTTCTACTGTACAATTCTTCCACCCTAATGAATCCGTATTTAGATGGACACGCTGACTCTAATTCGGGAGCCCTACATGCGGCCGAACATCTGAGCTTCCTGGGACTCCATCTACGAGGCGAGAAGGGGGGAAACAACTCCCGCGGGAAAAAAAACACAAGAAGAATTTGCACGGTTCGTTGGTTAATTTACCCGATTAAAACTAAAAACTTGGTTTAGGAACTTCGCAACACGCCCCGACGGCGAAACCCCACGTAATGGCGTTCTGCAACTCAAGCCTGAAATGGTAATTATTCACTCAACTTTGTCAAAAATGAATTGCAAACCGCCCAAACGAAATAAGCATTTAACTAAATTATATAGGTCCACTATAATTGGGAAAAAAAATACAATTTAGGCAAAGTGAAGAAATAGCGCATTCAAAGAAGATTTTTATTTAATAGGAATCGAATCTTTCAATTTTACCCAGAAATGCTGTTAATATACAGAACGTAACAATCGTAAGCTTTTGGCATTTTTAATGAGGCAGCCAGTGGGATGCGAGGGAATCATTTGATGAGCAGTAGATGAGAGTAGATATAAGGACTTGCGGACACTAACAAGAACTTTTCATAGAGAAAATCCCACTGTCTAGGTGAACTGCTCGGAAAGCGGCAACCTGCTCCGCAAATTGATGAAATGGTCCTTCGCGCATCCGAACAACATCCACGAAAAAGGAAGGACGAGCCCACAAAAGGAATGCCTAGTCGCGGATTTCGCCTCGGAGGTCTGGAGCGCCGGACCCACAATTTCGGGAGTCGTCACACAAAGAGGGTCGCTATTCCACGAAGTTTTGCGTGATCCACCGGCATCTTTGCAAAACTATTTGGTAAGCCATCACTTTGTTACTAGCGCTGGTTCTTTAAGGAAGTTTGCAATCTTGTAAATCTCTAGTGTTCCGTTATCAATTAGAAATTTAATGCCACCTTTTATAGATCGCTGGCCAAGGCCGTCTACCCGAAAGCCCCCCACATCCAATACGACGCGGGAGGAAAACCGGTTATGGACCCGGAGCTGACCGTAAATAAGGTATTTATTCTTTGTATGCGCTGAACCCGATCATATAGATCGAACGGGTGCTGGGGACCAGCTGCCGGCCGCACAATGCATTGGTCGAAGGAAGCCTTTCCGACGACAACATCGCGGAAATCAACAAAACGGTATGTAGGAGCGTGTTCAAATTATGTCAGAATAAGTGTAATGTTTGCAAAATTCGCTATTCAATCGAAATCCTTCTAAATTTGAAATTCGAATCATATTTTTCTAGCGTTTTTTGATGTGAAAATTTTTCAGGCTCACTCTCACTCGGTCAAGGGGGAATGTGTACAAGCAAACCCTCGATACGGAAGACCCGCCCAAAGGTTGCCCGCCAACGAGGGCTACAGAAATCGCGGGGATGTGCCAGCCATTCGTCGGAATCATTGCCTGGTACGTTATTAATCTTAGACCTAGCGGGCTAGCAATCGATAAAACTATTGTAAGAGATTTTTTGTCGAGAAAAAGAAAATCTAGAGGCTGAAAAATGGAAACCTCAATTAACCGACCCCTTCTTTAGGGGTCGGTTAATTGAGGTTTCCATTTATAAGCCAAGTGAATAATTTTTTTAAGGCTATTGCCCTCCGTCCAGAATCCGAAAGAGCGCCTGGCGATCGAGCTTCTAAGCAAGGAATTGGAAGAATGGATAAATCGAGGTAAATTCCTTGCACTTCCTATAACCCCTCACGATTCAGACAACGCCAACAACGAAATCAAGGTCGAAATCTGCGACTACGGCTTCCCCGGCTGCATAGTGGCAAAATTAGAATGTGTCGACCAGGACGAATTCGAAGAAACGAAGAAAAGGTACAGCAATCAATATTACCTGAAAAATATTTCTTTGTTTAGGGTGGACGAACAGGCCAAATTATTCATACCGGTGCGCAGAAGGGAGGCGACCAGAAACGAACAGCAAATATATCAGGTGAAGGTCGAGAAGGTATTTCAACATTTATCTGCAAAATTGATAAAGGCTAGTTAGACCGCTAAGCGTTCCGCTTTCTCTCAAAAGAAATAATTGATTCATTCATAGTGGTTCAGAAAGAAAATGAAAGTGAGGGGAATAAGAATCACAAAAAAAATGGGGATGAGGGCGAGAGAGAGAGAGAGAGCGAGAGAGAGAGAGAGAGACGAAGGCATGCAGACTAAGATTCTCTCCAAGTTTAAAAATAACTAGGTCCAAGCTGCATCTCATGCTTTCGACATTTTGCGCAGTTTTAGTCTAGAATTTCGGCATGTAGTCCCTTGAACAAAATCTTTATAATAACCGGAAAAATGTGCTATGACACTGTGAATTTAGAGCCCTGATCACCGCGCCACTCGCCGCGACCTTTTGTGGCGACGTGCACGTCCCCATGGTAATGCAAAAGTCCAAATTGTGGGATCAATTCTCGATGAGGTAACATAACGTTAGTCTATTTAATTTTCCATGCCTAGGAGAAGTGGCTCGCCGAGCTGGCAGAGCTTCCCGACGCCACCTGGCTCGACTATTCACAAAAAGTATTCGAAGGACCTTGTTGGGCCGCCTGCGCCACGCCCATGGACGCCAAAGACAAGCCAAAGGCCGAGCTCAACTACAGCAAAAGCGGAGCCGAGGAACGAATCAAGGTTTTCTTTCTATGGTCTTTCGCGTTATCGGGGGCGGGGGGAGATCAACTTTTTCGATTTGAAGTCGGGAAATGTCTAGTGATGCTATGGGAAATAATTTAATGGTGTTTTAGTAAATTTAACCATATTTTAAACGAAAAAATTTAGATTGGACGTAAGGGCGCCAAATGCGGGATGGGTCCTTTTTTGGGGCATCTGTATTTATTGTCATGTTTATAGGGAGCTGCTCGCGTCAATGTAAACAAGACCCAGCAAGAAGAGGAGAAGCAGGAAGAAGGAAGCAGGAAGAGAAGCGACTATGGCCTCGGACCTGACCGTCAATAAGGTATTAACTTTTTATGCGCTGAACCCATTTATTTAGATCGACGGGGTCCTCCGGATCGTATGCCCCCTGCACATGCCTGGTCGATGGTCGAGGAAGTACCAGCGGATGGAAATGTCAGCGCCGGAACAAGGACGAGACCAAGCGCACGGATAACGGTTTTTTGTGGGAATTAATTTAAATAAATTTATTATTATTGTTTTTATTCATATCAAAACACAATGCGATTTTTTGGGTTTGTTCCGTGTTGGCCAGTTTCATGATTGGATGTCAGATATGATTTTTGATGCCCGCAATTTGGAAGTGTTTTGTCGACATCTTTTGGCTCAATTTTCGATTTTGTTGAAATGGTGATGATGGCGTCAAGTAATTCAAAATTTCGAAAGATTAGCCTGGTTGTTACCGGGGAAAATTGGCTTTTTTAGCAACTTTAACTGCCGATAGCGATAGCGGATTGAATCAAACCGTTGCATTTTGGGAAAGGAATTAAGCAGACATTGGAACTTTGACTGTTTTATTTTTTCACTCACTTTACAGACAAAAAGACAATATTCGATCAAAACAACTTTTAATTCACCGGAACTGAATGGTGAATCACACGTGATCGATTTTATGAGAGCGGTATCACAAAATGGGGGATGGGATATGCACGTCGAATCGGATCGGATTTTTGGGAAAATTGTGGTGTAGAGCCTTTAAAAATGAAACTTTTTAATCTAAGTTGTTGCAACAACTAATCAGAATTTAGATTACTTTTAAAGGCCCTGGAGAATAGGGCTTCTGAATTCAAAAAAATATTTTATAGGTTTTGATGGCTAGATAGCTACCCGATTGTTGTCGTAAATTTGGGGAAAATTGTGGAAAAATCATGGAATCATGTAGCATATATTTTTTTGCCGGTAAAGGTAAAACCTACCTTTGAATTTTTCTAAAAAGGCTTTAATTTGCCGACAACAAATTATGTCTTGACTCGATTTTGTCAAATTAAAACTTTTCAAGGAGCGGCAATGGTCTGTGAGGGCCCGGGGGAGCAGGAGTGTTCGGAACATCGCGGATTCCTGAAAAAAGCTGAAGTTCTTGGTGTATCAAATTATTGATTCGGAATAAATAAGCCGATCCCGCGATAAGACCGTGTTCATAATTTTTTTGCATCAAAAGGAAACCGATTTTTCGAGTTTAAGCTGTATATTATACGAAGTAAAAAAGGGGTTGATTAGACAAATGCGGTACCTGAAATATTTGCGCCCATCCTCGGGTCATCCGGGTCGATATGGACGAGTCGGGGTTGGATGGGGGGCAGCCGGTTGGCGGCTGGCAGATAGGAGCCCGTGTAGCCATCTTAAAAGTTAATTTAATTTAAATCAAATATTTTATTTTTGGAATTCGCCCGTAAGCAAAAAAACTGGTTCTGGGCTGTTCGCGTTGTGGGAAAACCACTTTGTGTTTTTCCACCCAGGCCCATGATAATACATAAAAAATTTTTATTGTGTATTCGGTAGTTTTCAGTTGCTGGAAATTGATCAAAATGTTTTAGAATATTTGAAATTTAGAAAATTTTCTCAAATTTGTTACCGAAAAGTCAAAATGTTTGAAATGTTTATAATTTTTGATCAGCTTTTTATATCTAACGACGATGTAAAATGTTATAAAGACTGTCTATATTTCGACGGCTTCTCTACGTGCGCGGTTTTGAAACACATGAAATGAGCCTTGAAATTTTTAGAAAAGTTTTTGGAACCGCTTTGAAGTAAAGAACGACTGTGCAAATCTATTTACAGTGCTTAAAAGTCAATCAGCCATTTTACATTGAAAACTACCTTTATTCGGGTCCTCGCCGACAATGGGTGGGAGTGGCGGTCTACGGTAGGGGGCAAGGTTCGAAGAAGAATTCTGGCGTTCCCAGTTGCCGCTCGATTTTCGCCCTCGGCAGCAGGGTAGGCATCTGAATTTGAAAGCTTTCCCTCAGGAGATTTGAAAAACAGTGTTACGGTTAATTACAAGACTTAAAATATAAGACGAATTTCAATTCCTGCGGCTTTTTTCATTCATTCATTCGGCGAGACTTAACAACGCGCCGGTTATCTCTCACTCAGAAAATCGCTTGATGGACCGTATTTAATGCACTCACTATAACAAAATGTACAGATCTTCCGAAGCCGCCGTTAAATTAATTTTTATTTACCAAAATTTTTAAGACTTTTTTTTCCTGAAAACTATTTAGAATAAGGCTAGGTCTCTCTCTCGCTCTCTCCCTCCCCTGTGTCTCTCTGGGCTTCTCTCTATCTCTCTATCTCGCTCTCTCTCACTCTCGCTCTCTCTCACTCTCTCGCTCTCTCGCTCGCTCGCTCTCTCTCTCCCTCTCTATCTCTATCTCTTTCTCCATCACGCTCTCACTCTCTCGCTCTCTATCTGTCTCTCTCATTTTCTCTCGCCTTTTTTACTACAGCATTCAGGAAAAATAATAGCGACTAAAAATTGGACACCCTACCCTATAGCTACCGAAAAATTGAATGTTTCAAAAATGCAGCATTCGCGTCAATTTTTGGGATGATAATTTTTTGATGAGAATTGGTATGTTCGATAATTTCTTCCAGCTGTTAATCGGCTTGCCGTTATAAAAGTTATATTTTACTTAATTGACTCTTAGTTCAACTTTTCTTAATAAAAATTAACAATTTTTTGTGTAAGTTGAAATGTATACCTTCCCCAGCCAAGCCCGTCCTCATAATCGGCGACGATTGGCTCGTCGGGCGGCTGGATTACGCGTCTAAAATATTGCAACTTTAAGTTATGGCCTGTATTATTTATAGTTTGTTATATTTTTATTATTTATTGTTATATTATTTCGTCATAATACGAGTATTTTGCCTATTTTGAGTCTCGGACGAACATTTTAGAAAGCAAGCTTTTAGATAGAAAAAAAACATGAAACTCAAAAATTTGGAAAAATAAAAAAGGGCTAAAAATCTATTTAAAATTATTTGACTAAATAATAAAAAAATAACCAGAACCGCGCGGTTCAAAAATGGCTGTTAAAATTTTGAAGAAATTTATCGTGTTTCGCCGAGTTTCCTCGAGCAACCCTCCACTTTACTGCTTATTGCTCGACGAAAATCTCGTGTGTTTCTACCAAAAAGTTAAAAAAAGGTAAAAAACACCTTTTAATTTGCAGAACGCCATAGCGAATTTTAACTTTTTTTTCTGGTAGCGAAGGTATAAAATCTTGTTGTTTCACTTTATTTTAACAATTCGGCAATATTTCAGATTGTAAAAGAAACATACTTTTTGTGCTTGTAGATCCAGCAGCAAATCCCGGCGGCCAGCGCCAAGAGCAGGGCCACTACCACGGCGATCATCCCGAAAATGATCCATTCGTGGCCGGCTGAAAACCATTTTTTAGCGATTAAGATATCTTACCACTATTGAATCTAATTATATTTTCAGATATATAAAAAGCCATAAAAATATCAAAATTTCGACTTTGGTCCAAAGTGCCTGAAAAATGGCGAAAAAGGTCAAAATTTTCGAATTTCCAAAAATGATAAATTATTTATAAATCTTTAGCAATCAAAAACTACTAAACACACTAAAAATATATATTATATATTAACAACTGGCGGAAAACCTAAAATTTATCTCCCCAGTACCTCGTTAATTACCAAAAAAAATCAGAGCATGGACGACGGAAATTTGATAAAAAATTTGTTTCGGGAAACTCCAAAATGTACTGTAATTATGAGCGATTAATAGCGTTTTTTTAACCATCTTCGATACTTGCAGATTCTATAGCTAAATCAATTAATTACTTATTCATTAATTTAATTAAATTAGAGGACGTTTAAATATAAACTCTAGAGGAATGCGGACAGCCCTAAGCTTTTCAACTACGAATTTAAATTTTTAAAAATGGGGTAAGAATGCTTCGACCAAATTTTAATACGGGGATTTCATTATAGATTTCATAATTTTTAGCAGTTTTATAATTAGCGACTAGTGCATATAAGTATTTATTTTCAAAATGCCTAAGCTCACTAAAAACAAATGTACATTATAATGAAAAGAAAACTTATAGTAATTTGATATTTTAAAGGGATGGTGTCGGGTAGCAACGCCTGCTATCACAATGCCGAAATTGATAATATATCGAAATTTGATAATTTCGAAATTAATCATGTCGAATTTTTTCGTAATTTTGGGTATTTTTCCGGGCTATTTGCTCATGTAAATTTCGACGTTCTGAATTTCGACGTTCTGAAATTTCGGCATAAAGAATTTCGACATTATGAAATATCGGCGTTATCACTTTCGCCATTTTACAAGTAACCCCTCAGCAACTTACAAATGCCCATAAAGCGCTCCCAGAATTCCTGGACCTGTGGCGGGATCCAGTCGATTTGCAGGTTCGGCCGGTTGGCTGGGGGTTCCGTCGATAGGAGCGTAGCGTTCACCTAACAAGAAGCAATTGCAGGGAATTTTTGAGCCATAAGGACAGCAATACAAAAACAGTGGCTACACGTGCTTTGAAATTAACTAATTCTATTGCAAAAAAATTAATATTAAACGGGAAGTCTTGGAAAAGTTATTTAAATTTCAATTTATCAAAATTATTGTTGAACCAGTAATAAAATAAATTCTGAATTACATAAAACATTTTTTTGTACCCAAAATTAACGAATATTCAGCAGCGGAATCTACAGCGTCTTGTAGCGCGCTTAAAAAATTTTCGTGATGGTGATCCACGAAACTTATTTTTAACCCGAAAATTTTTTTTGAAACTGACATCAGCAGGGTCAGCATCGTACAACGGAACGTCATCGGAATTTGAGGTGGACGCTTCTGGAAATTGTAGAAATTGATTTATACACATTTGAATATCGGTTTTCTTTGTTAAAAGTATTGGCAAGCTAGGCCTATATAGGCCTAGCCACATCAAATCCGCACGTTTTTAATTTTGTCGAAATTCCAATGTCTTTTTCGCCTCGAGTTTCGATAAAATGAAAGTTCAATAAAGCTAAATTTCGACAAAATGTAATTAGACAAACTTGTAGCAAAACCCTCAAATCAACGCCCAAAGCTCCCCCGTTCTGCGTCGACAAAAAAATATGTTGCACAATTTCTTAGTCTAAAGTATGGGCATTCGGCATTTAATTCAGATGTTGAATTCGACTTCCAATTTTCCGATTCCGATTCTTGACCAAAATTTCAACTTCACAAATTTTTTTAAAATTTGTGAGATTGTTTCCAGTTCCAGTTATTGTGATATTTTACTGAAAACACCAATATAATACTTCCTATGAAGTTATTAGGCATTTTTAGATTTATACACCCCCTCCCCGCCGATAACGCGAAAGAACCGTGGATTTCGTAGAATCTAAAGAAAATCCAACGAGGCGGTAGTCGGAATAAAAAAAGATAATCCAGGATACCTTGTAAAATTTCGAAACATAGATTCATTAATGTCTTACTTCCCCCTTGGCCTTATCGATTCCTTTAAAATGCTTTATTGGCATATTAGGCCTAATTAAAATTGGATCAAGTTATATTTAAAAATTAAAAATACAAGCCGCTACTCGTAACATTTCCTATTGACAGAAACCCCCTAACCGACACCCAAAGCTCCAGGATGTTCCTCGACAAAAAAAATATGTTACACAATTTTTAGTCTAAACTATGGGCCTTCGCCATTTAGTTTTAGACATTAATTTAAATCAATAAAATCGATTTTTCAGCAAAACACGCACTTTCGACTTTTTCAGCAAAAAAGCAAAAAATGGTGATCAAATGTCGACTGCTCAATATTTTTTTAGAGTTTTTGGATTGTTTTCCTAGTTGAAATCTAGTGATATTTTACTAAAAACCCTATCGAAATCTTTCCTTTGAAGTTACTAGGCAATTTTAGTTTATACAACCCCCCCCCCCCGATAACGCGAAAGAACCGTAGATTTCGTAGAATCTAAAGAAAATCGAACAATCGTACTGGTAATTGCAAAAAAGACAATTCAGAATACCTTGTAAAATTTTGAAACATCCTATATATTTACTTTTTTGGAATTTCCGTGGCTTGCCGATCCCTTTAAAATGATCTATTGGCCTAATTAAAATTGTATCAAGTTATGTTTAACAATGAAAAATAATCAACTGTATTTGAAAGAAACCCCTAACCGACACCAAAGTTCCAGGTTGTTCGTCGACAAAAAAAAATATGTTGCACAATTAGTCAAACAAATGGGCTTTCATCATTTAGTGCCAGGCAACTGTCTAATTTCGATCCCCGATCAAAAAAAACCTATGCTTGACCAAATCACCACCTTTCAAATTTTTTGTGAGTTTTTAAATTGTTTTTCAGGTTTAAATATGGTGATATTTTACAAAAAAAACACACCAATAAAATACTTCCTATGAAGTTACTAGGCATTTTTAGACTTATAAACTCCCCCCCCCCCCGATAAAGTTAAAGAACCGCAAATTTCATAAATCTAAAGGAAATTCGACCGACCTAACAATTAAGGAGAAAGTACCCAAACATTAAGAAAAAAAAAATACCAGAATACCTCGTAAAATTTCGAAACATGGGATGATTAATTTTTATTCAAACTTCCCCCTGGGCCTTGTCGATTTAAAATGACTGATTGGCATATTAGGCCTAATTAAAATTGTATCGAATTATATTTAACAAATAAAAAATACAAACCTGTACTCGTATCATTTCCCATCAACTGCATGATGGTGAACATTTGGTCGAGGCTTTTCGCCATGTTTGCCTGAGAATAAAACTTTCGGATGTTCACCGCTCATTAGCCTGCCGAAAAATCGAGGGCTTAACCCAAAAACATAAAACATTTTTTCAGGAATCGAGATGGAAGCGAATAAAAATGCTTCAATGGGAATGTAAGTGTTAAAAAGCGGATAAAAACGTCCAAAATACGTGTCGGAAACTACAGGCTTTTCCTAATAAAAAACCATCCCCTGTAACTCGAGGCAGAAGTATCAGATCGGAACGAAAGTTATACCATTCGAAAGCCCTTGAAACGGCCAGTTTGCAACAATTTTCAAAACCATGTTTTTATTTAAACCCGACATTTTGCAAGGCAATGTGTAAAGTTTCCGGTTTTTCCAGGTCGCATACGAGCAAATTTGCGTCAATTTCTCCCAGAGACCGGAAGTAGCCGCTAATTAGATTCAGGGGTCGTTCCTTAATGTTTTTAATGGCATTTTAAACTTGCCATGTTAAATAAAAACATGGTTTTGAAAATGTTGCAAACTGGCGGTTTCAAGAGCTTTCTCGAATGTTGTAACAACCATTCCGATACGACACCTTTGCGTCGAGTTACAGGGGTGTTTTTTATTGGGACACTTGTAAAAATGGTATCGCCTGCATATCAAAGGGATGCCGACGGCATAAACAATCGATTACGCGCGGAAAAGAAAATGTCTCTGCGCCCCCGGGCGCGCTCTCTCCCCTGTTGGCTACTTGCCAATTTGTTGATGAGGGGGGATCGACACATGCCGTCGGCAGCCCTTTAAGACCAGCTAGTGGAAGGTATTAATTATTTTTTACTGCTTGGGCAATCACAAAAAAGGATAAAACAAGTTTTTTTTGGTCTGAAAAACCAGTTTAAGCTAACAAAGAATATCGAATATAACAAGCGATGGTATCAAATTATTACTAATTTTTGAACAATGGAGAAATCGCAAAAAAGGATAAAATATCGTCTTTCAAAAAAGCTAATTTGAAGCGGATAAAAACGCCGCGACGCGGTTAAGAAGATGAGCGCGAAGCTAGAAACTCGTAATTATAAATTTTGTAACTCTTGTTATTCAGCTAAAGGCCCGAAAGTTGGTCTCGAGTTGGGTGGCGGCGACTCCGGAAAAAAACATCGGGGTGGGGGGGCACCGGGTTTCCCGGGTTACGGTGATAACAGAAAGTCCAATTTGCCCCTCGGGGGGCTTCCGGCCCACGCCTAATGACGAAATGACAAATTAGCGGGTTAGGGAGTGAGAGAGATGGTGAAAGTGAGACAGAGTGAGAGTGCGTGCGAAAGAGAGAGAGAGTTAGAGAAACAGCGGGAGAGAGTGAGAGTGAGAGAGAGCGAGAGAGTGATAGAGTGAGAGAGAGTGAGAGAGACAGAGAGTGAGACAAAATGCGAGAGTGATGGTTTAGCTTTCCCTTACATCACAGCTGGCCAGTTTATATAACTTTCGGCCTCAACTAAACTATTTTCTACCTTTCAAGCTTTAAAAATATTATTTAAATCCAAAATAACACCGATAAACCCGGGTTCTGAACCATCCGCCTTTTATAGAAGCTGTGTTTCAACATCAGTAGGGTCCAAGAAGACAAAATTGTATGCAATACCTCTCCATCAATGTCGAGCCAAAAAATTTCATTAAAGTGCTTGATAAAAGGTAAGTGAGTTCGTAAAGCGTACTCCTGCGTCCAAGGTTTTTAACAAGTTTTTACGTCTATTTAAAAAATAGCACAAGCTAGCTCTTTCTAAAAATTTTTTTATTATTCCTAAAATTAAAAACCACACAAAGTTGTATTAAAAAATACACAAAAAAAATATAGTTTTGTATGTATTGTAGGATTCGGTCATTGGGAAAAGGGAAATTGCTTGGCTTATGCGGAACGTTTCTTCCTTCTCAGTGACACTTTTTGAAATGCAGAATCGTAGAAGGTATTTTAAACATAATTTTGATTGACGAGACAATGGATAAATGTAAAAAAAACAAAAATTAGCAATATTATATAGTCAAAATTCCTCCAAAAATCCAGTAAATCCAGCCAGCTGCTTTGTGGTTAGGCGGGCGGTGTTCAGTTTTGTTGTTTCCGGAAGGAGATGGAGGAGAGAGATAGTGTTTAGAGAGACAGAGAGACAGAGAGAGAGAGAGAGAGAGAGAGAGAGAGAGAGAAAGTGAGCTGAGAGAGGGCGAGAGTGGGAGAGAAGCAGAGACCTCAGAGACAATCCAAAGTGACAGCCGGTCTTTTGGTCAACACGGGGGCTGTAATAGCCGCAGGGCCCATCTTTCATGCATCTCCGAATGAGGCCACGCCCCTTTTCCCTAGCCTCCCAAAATATGCAAAGAACATTTGGCGGCGCCGGCTGGAATTTGGTTATTTTTGAGGGCTAAAACAAGTGTTTTTCGAGGTAAAAAATTCGGCTCGGCAAGCTAGCAGCGATTCCTTGATTTAATTTTGTATCAACTAGCGAGCCCGGATGTGTAAAATCCAGCGCTCCAAATAAATAAAAAGTTTTATTTCCACCGGGCTTTCAAATCTCCGCTTTTGTTATTAGTAGGGTTAACTGTTTAATAAATTTGAGTTTCTGTGAAACATTCATCCAAATGATAATTCCCGCAAAAACGTAACATTTAGCGTTTAGCAGAAAGCTCAAAAATTGGAAACTCTAGGAATAAATCAAATTTGAAGCTAATTTTATTTACCTACCCCTTTATGCAACAATTACACGTTGTGAATATAAAAATTCTATTTTGGGCAAGACAGGCCACGGGAGATTTTTCAAGAAGCGAAACGACGAATCAAGGGTTTGTTGGCGAAATTTAGAGTCAAATTTCATGAAACATCCATACAACGGACAGACAAGAAAATGGGAAAAAATGGTAAGCTTCCCGAAAACGAAAAATGAAAAATTTCTGATTTCTGTGTATTTTCTTGGGTTGGCAAGTTTTTCAATAAAAGGTAATATAAGGTCACATTGCTTTCACCGCTAAACCGGCAGCTACGGATTTTCGTGAAATATTTTTGCAAGAAGATCGTGGAAGGTTGTCACTGGGACGATTGCTGGAACTGAATGCAATGAAAGCATTTTCACTAATACGGACTTTTCATGAAACATCATTTTTGGGACCGAATTAAGGAAGTTAAGGCACAACGGTCAAAAATCGTGTTGGTAAAGGTTCGCAAGGCGGGTTGGTAAAGGTTCTTTACATTTAATTTTTGTATAAGGCAAAAAGCCGAAAAATTCGAAACTGGGGGCTCTAAGAAATAAATGGCATTTGTAGATGATCTTACTTATCTACCCCTTTATGCAACAATCACAAATTAGGCGTATGTTCGCAAAATTTAGAGTCAATTTGCAGAAACATTTCCACGCAACGTAAAAACAAGAAGACCAGAGAAATGTAATCTTCCCGAAAACGAGCTGAAAAATTTCTGTTCTTTGTATTTTCTTGGATTGCCAAGTTTTTCAGTATAGGGTAAGTCAGCTGATCACATTGCTTTCACCGGTAAACCGTCAGCAACGCATTTTAACGAAATATTTTTTTTGGAAGAAGATCGTGGACGGTTTTCACTGAAAATCGACGGTGGGGGAGCAACTCATTCCAACAAAAGTATTCCCACTAATATGGCATTTTCATGAAAAATCATTCTGGGGAAAAGATTTCAAAAGATATGTGAAAGAAACAGTCAAAAATCGTAATTTATTTTCAATAAAACATTTTGCAGTAAAGAGGATCAAGACGAAATAACTAAAACTCGTAAGAAATATTTTCACATTTAGTAAATTTAAAGAAAGCAGAAATAGAAAAAAGATAGATGCGATTGTTTCTTTGAAATTGTACCGAGAGGTTGACCTGGTTCGGTTACTTCACAAAAATTAAGCATTGTGTTTTATTTTTATGAAACATGATTTTCGGAAAAAATCAAAAGGGATGAGGTAAACAGCGACCGATTTGGCACGGCATAGACCGAGAGACAGAAAACCACGAGTTGTGGTGTGAAATTGGGGGGATTATTCTCGAGGGATAGTACACACCCAGCGCGAGTGAGAGGGAGGGAGAGAGAGAGGGAGAGAGAGAGAGAAAGGGAGCGAGTGAGAAATTCTAGAAAGAAGGTATAAATACGGAAAAACTACTCTGTCGTCAAATCCTTAACCAAACTGCCGAGATAGTTGATAACAACAAGAATAACAACAGAACAACAACAACTCAACAACAACAACATCAACACAATCAACAAGATCAGAAAGTAAAATTCTAAGGAAAATATTGTGGCTTGAAAAATGGGTGCTTTGGCGTTATCGGAGGGCACCAATTTTTCTATGTAGAAGTGAAAGTGGTGAAATGAAATGTTTAATAACCGAATTGGAAGTGTTTTAGGTTTTTAATAAAGGAAAACGATACTTGAACTGGAAAAACTATCTAGAATCTTTCGAAAAATTTATCAAAAAGGTGGAGTTTTGGTAAAGAAACGGCCATTTTTGGTCGATAAATCGATTTGCATTTATATTTTTGTTAATTTGTATTTTTTACTAAAAATTTGTTTACTAGATTTATTTAAAATGTTTTAGTAAAGTTTTTACACTTAGGAATAGTAAAAAAGTTACCAAGCTTTTCGCTCTTTGATTTGAGAAATTGGATCCTAAGAAAAATTTGGTGTGAAAAATTTAACGGGAAAACACCGATTGTAAGGCCTATTAGATGTTTGTGGTTAAAATTCATCAAAGTTTTGACGAAACATAATTTTTTTACCAGATTGACGACCATGAATGCCCACAGCCATAATTGTCGGGTTTCTTGCATTTTACCTGTATTGGGTACTGTGCAAGTGGGTATTGCGCCATAAATAGGCAAGTTAGAATCGTAAAATCTCAAAACACATTTTTTTTCCAGAAAACGCCTATTCAGGGTTTGCGTTACTTTTTAGTAGTAGTTGTTCGTACTGGTGGCAGCGAGGGTGGGAGGGAGGGAACAAGCCCCGTTTCCGGGGTGGTCTCTCTGTCTATCGCTGTGT